ATTATCTTTGTCAGATGATATGAGTATAGTTTGGCACACTTTTATTCCTGGAAAAAAATATACAGAAATTACCGTGCATCTTGTACATCAGCATCACTGATCCAGTAACACTTACTAAAAACATCAGCTCTGTGTTAGTTTGCAGTTTATGTTATGTCTATTTTATGTTAGTTACCACTTCAGATTTGAGTGAGAATTATTTTGCAGAAATATCCTAGAATATCTAAAATTTGACAAACCACTAATAACATTACTCTAGAAAAGAAGGTATGGTAAATTAAGGAGTACCAAGTTTTAAAAATATTTCGACTTAACACATGGATTAAAATGAAGGATTCACTTCATGTTCGAATGTCTTGCCAACAGAACGAGAGGAGAAGAAGGAACTAGACAAACAGTATGACAAGAGCGAGAATGACCTCAAGGCCCTGCAGAGCGTCGGCCAGATCGTTGGAGAGGTCCTGAAGCAGCTCACGGAGGAGAAGTTCATTGTGAAGGCAACAAATGGGCCTCGCTATGTGGTGGGGTGCAGGCGGCAGCTGGACAAGGGGAAGCTCAAGGTAACGACGCTGTATTTGATCTCGGTGTCTTTGGGAAATTGATGATTGTAGAAAGAACAAGAGTTTCTCTTTCTCTTTTTCTCTGTCTGTCTTTGTCTCTCTGTCTCTGTCTGTCTTTGTCTCTCTGTCTCTGTCTGTCTTTGTCTCTCTGTCTCTCTCTGTCTGTCTTTGTCTCTATTTCTGTCTCGGTCTGTCTTTGTCTCTATTTCTGTCTCGGTCTGTCTTTGTCTCTATTTCTGTCTCTGTCTGTCTTTGTCTCTATTTCTGTCTCTGTCTGTCTTTGTCTCTCTGTCTCTCTGTCTTTGTCTCTCTGTCTGTCTGTCTTTGTCTCTCTGTCTGTCTGTCTTTGTCTCTCTGTCTCTGTCTGTCTTTGTGTCTCTCTGTCTCTGTCTGTCTTTGTCTCTCTGTCTCTGTCTGTCTCTCTCTCTCTCTCTGTCTGTCTGTCTGTCTCTCTCTCTCTGTCTGTCTGTCTGTCTCTCTCTCTCTGTCTGTCTGTCTGTCTCTCTCTCTGTCTGTCTCTCTCTCTCTCTCTCTCTCTCTCTCTGTCTCTCTCTCTCTCTGTCTCTCTCTCTCTCTGTCTCTCTCTGTCTCTCTCTGTCTCTCTCTCTCTCTCTCTCTCTCTCTCTCTCTCTCTCTCTCTCTCTCTCTCTCTCTCTCTCTCTCTCTCTCTCTCTCTCTCTCTCTCTCTCTCTTCTCTCTCTCTCTCTCTCTCTCTCTCTCTCTCTCTCTCTCTCTCTCTCTCTCTCTCTCTCTCTCTCTCTCTCTCTCTCTCTCTCTCTCTCTCTCTCTCTCATTGTGTTGCAGCCTGTGCTGAATGTCTCATATTCAATCAGTTTATTTTTTTCTTGTCTGTATAACAAATCATTAATAAAATGTGATAGAAAACTAACAGAAGAATATCCCTCAGCCTGGTACCCGTGTGGCTTTGGACATGACGACGCTGACCATCATGAGGTACTTGCCACGTGAAGTTGATCCCCTGGTCTACAACATGAGCCACGAAGACCCTGGCGATGTTACCTACAATCAGATTGGTGGTTTGGCTGAACAGATCCGTGAACTCAGAGAGGTAAGGTTCTTTGCCACTGGGTTATGTTGAGAGATTTTTGAAGTCAAAAGAGTTTCTTTGGGGGGGGAGGTTAAATGTATACTAAAGGAGTAGATCTAAGGTGTAAATTTCGGATGCATTGTTGATTTTCAGTTAAAGTTAAAGCAAATAAAAGTCTGAATCAGAAATGAAAAAATACAATGTGTAGTAATGAGTCTTTTGTAGAAGTTTGGAGTAAAATTATATCTATAATGTCTGAGATTGATTTTCATAATAAGTTGTAAAAGAACATATTTGTCTATATGCACTGTACACCATAACCAGTATTATTCAGTTATACCATATAAATTTTATATCCAAAAACCTGAGCATTCCATTTTTCGTGCAGGTCATCGAGCTTCCTCTCCTGAACCCTGAGCTGTTCCACCGTGTGGGAATCTCTCCACCCAAGGGTTGCCTTCTGTATGGTCCACCAGGCACAGGAAAGACCTTGCTGGCTCGTGCTGTTGCATCTCAGCTCGACTGCAACTTCCTGAAAGTATGTTGGCACAGTTGCTTCTCATTCTCTTGCAGCTCTTTGGCACTAGTGCTTTTATTAATGATTTTATTTATTATTATTGTTTTTAATGTCATTGTCATAATGTAATTAAAGCTGTCCAAAGCCAGTTCATTTGCTACTTGTTTGTATGTGTGCATTATCTAGAATGTTTTGTTATGTACACTTACTGAATACTGGAAATGATTATTCATTTATTATTTATGCTTATTTTTATTCCAGGTTGTGTCCAGTGCCATTGTAGACAAGTACATTGGTGAGTCCGCCCGTCTCATCCGAGAAATGTTCAACTATGCACGGGACCATCAGCCTTGCATCATCTTTATGGACGAGATTGATGCCATTGGTGGGAGAAGATTCTCTGAGGGCACATCAGCTGATCGTGAAATCCAAAGAACTTTGATGGAGTTGCTGAATCAGATGGACGGCTTTGATTCTCTTGGCCAGGTTTGTGCTTTACTGTTTGCAACAAAAGCATGGTTACTGATTCCTTTTTTCATTTCTCTTTTTAGTTAAGTCAAATCCGACAGGCATGGCATATATGTTCATGCCATGCCCACTGTGAGTTTACTTTATTTTTTACACATAGATGGCTACACATACACCAAGTCATCAATGAGCCAATTATGAGTAATGCTTGTCTCACCTGTTTACCCTTTTCCTTGATTTTTGGAAATATTTTATGTTATCTTGTATTATCTACTAATTGACTCCTTTGCGACTAATTCAATTTGGAATTGAAAAGAGTGGAATAAATTTGTTTTGAAACTAGTACTTTCAACCACAGAGTAATTTTTATAGTACATTTATGGTGGTAATGCCAAGTACAGATTGGGCTTGATGAGTATGAAAAATGTTAGGAATAGCAAATCAGTAGATAATAAATATTCATGTTTTTTTGATAATGATATGGATGAAGTAGATAGCAAAGGAAGGTCTGTAAATGGTATGAGAAACTACATAGCACAATTTTTTTTCTCTTCCTTTCTTTCAATGTTTTCATTTTTTTGTATCTGCAGCATCGCACACTACGTGGAAGATTATTATCTTTACAGCATCATCAATCCAGATATTCAATAGTGACTATATTAATCAGGCTAACTTTCAAATGTAATGAATATCTTTGATTCAGTGGTAACCTATTACTTAAAGTCAATCATCCTTCAATCCTTAGATGCAAGATTTTTGACAAAGATTTCCTCAATTCAATTTAGCCAAAGTGTAAAAATTGAAAAAAACTTATATTACCAACATCATTGTCATTTATTTTTTAGCACCTGAAAGACATTTTGCCTAATCCTATGTAAATGTACTTCGTGCTTCTTAGCTAGGTAATTCTCTCTGTAATTGTTGTGAAGATTCAAATTCAATGCACCAGTTACATGTCCTAGATTGTCAAAATATTTATTCACATTTACTTTTTTCTACATTAATTCAGTCATGTGAAAAGCTTCCCTATTTCAGCCAGTTGTTATAAACGAGCTTCAGTTAGGTACCCATTTTTCAATGTATCTTGATTGTGTTCATAGAGACAAGATCCCTTATTGCCCTTTGAGGACCTTGAACAGCTGAAACTTTGACATGGTTTCATTCAGAGAGCTTAAATATACTGAGCTGATATTCTGTAGCATGGATTAATGAATGAATCAAAATAGATCTACTGTTATTTATAGTACCTTTGACACATGAAAATATTATTGATGAAGCAATCTATTGACACACACTTACCACTCTCAGGTCAAAATGATTATGGCAACCAATCGTCCCGACACCCTTGACCCTGCTCTCCTGCGTCCTGGCCGTTTGGATAGGAAGATTGAAATTGCTCTTCCCAATGAGCAAGCCAGGCTGGAGATCTTGAAAATCCACTCTGGTCCAATCACAAAACGTGGAGAGATCGGTAAGTTCTGAATTAATTTTATCTGCTATATAGACTACTTGTAACTGGATAATATCCTTTGTGGTTGTAAGTGTAAGTATAGGTCTTTGCTGGTCCATTTCTCTTTGATTATTATTGATTGTTATTTTAGATATTGGTTATTGTCAGTGCTGTATTTTTTCTTTTAATTCAAATGACCATCAGAGAAATACGTTCCTCCCCCACAGATTATGAAGCCGTTGTGAAACTGTCCGATGGCTTCAATGGTGCCGATCTCCGGAATGTTTGCACTGAAGCAGGTCTTTTTGCTATTCGTAATGAGCGTGACTATGTAATAGAGGAGGACTTTATGAAAGCTGTACGCAAGGTTTCCGACAACAAGAAGTTGGAGACTAAATTAGATTACAAGCCTATCTAATCCAGTAATGTAAGATGCTGAAGTGTGATTACATGGTATATGCTAGCCTTTCTGTGACCACTTTTTCTTTATAAGATGTTATTCCTGAAATATTTCTAAAGTCATAGGGTTATAGGGAATTTTTTTTTATTTATTATTATTTTTTTTCAACTATGTTGTTTTAAATAAAGACTGGAAAAAACTTCTAAATGCAAATGAAAAGCTTTCATGCACATAGATGTTTTGTGGTGAAAGTTCCCGACTTCATGTAGAAGTTATATATAGGAATGTGCTCATATTTTAATATTTAACTAACTTTTTGGCTTATGGAACTTGTCCATGTAGAAATGGAAGTAAACTTTTTTTTTGTATGAACTACTTTTTTTCTCCTACCAAGATCCTTGATATAAATGTATTTAGTCCACCAGAAACAACGTAGTAATTAAAACTGAATAAAAATTTTGTAATTTTGTCAGACAAAAGATGAAGTTACTGGCCATACATTGCTTCCATTTAGCAAAGATATTTGATAAGTAATAAAGGAAAAAGAAAGGCAAATCTATCAAACAGTTCATGGCTTTTAACTTGAACATATATCAACTCTTATAGTGTGATAGCCATTTCTGCAACTCCTGTTGAACATTTTGATATGAAAGTTGAAGTATGGAATACATCATTACTATAAAAAAAAACTTTTGTGAATAGTAATAGGGGCAATGACTGGGAATGGTAATATGTATGGTGAAATGAAAAATAAATGTAAATGCTTGTTTGGCAGAAATATATAGTTTTGAGGAATGCCAGCATCAACATGACAGCATAACACAAGACTTGATTTGGTTACATGGAAATAAAAATAAAAAGTTGCAATATGCATAATGTGATACAGATGTGATAATGATACTTCCTTTTACAACTGGTACAGTAAGTCTTCATTTAATAGATATTTCCTTCTTCCAAAACCACAAATTGCTGTCTAGTCTATCTCATCTGTTCTGTGCATGTGGAATGTCTTCTTTTTGTTTTTCTTTTTTTCTGGACAAACCAATCCAGTACAACTATGCAAAGTTAGTTTCCAAATATTCAAATAGAGTAATTTGGAACCCTTGGCAAAATCATGGGCTTCCCTCATGATGGGCTGGCAAGAATACATGCCAAGTCCACTGTCTTTGTTTAATGATTGTCTTTACACTTAGACATCTCTGCAAGTGCTTAATCACCAAGGATTCAGTTACTGGTCCTACCTAGCTTACCTGTTTACCCTTTTCCTTGATTTCTGGAAAGATTCTTTTTATTTTTGATTGCAATAAGCATTGTTGATAACACTATAATAATCATAATAACAATAATAACAACATCCATATTTTTAGCTTTAAGGGAAAAAAAATCCCCCCTGAAATTTCAAGGAAAGGAGAAATCAGCTGAGGACACATAGGCTTACTAATTGGCTCCTTGGTGGCTGAGCACTTGTGGAGCCACCTGTGTGCTCACAAATTTTGCAAGAGTAAATGACAATACACAGTGTGAAAACTCGCCAACACTGGGTTAAGATCCAAGTCCCAGGCTTCACGTTCTTGAAAGTAAATGCTAAGTTCTTGCCATTCTGGGTATCCCTGAACATAAAAAAATAAAATCTACTTTGATAATATCATGAAATCCTATGAAACTGCACACCTAGTCGAGGAGTTGTAAACGGCATACATAAACTGTCCATGACCAAGCTTGTAGCTCTACCAGAGAGTGTATGTTCAAAGCTTCATTTGCTTTGAATAAAAGGAAATGTACTATAATACACAAATATTTAAACACAATCCATTCCTATTTGATAGTATGAGTAATTTGGCCTTTACTTTATTTATTGAAACATTTCTGCTGTGTCAACTTCTAAGATCATTAGCAGCATATTCAAAATATAGACATAGTATGAGGCTTGGGGGCAAATCCTACAGGTATGGAAGTGTTATATGACATCAAAGTTCATATGGCAGGGATGACTTCACATATTTTACCCAGTGAGCCACACACACCTGAATGATACAAGGCATACTGTGTCCTTTATGACAAAGTTTTTGTGTGATTGGACTTGATGATGCAGGAGCTATTTTAAAGTCAGTCCATTAATGCCTACTTGTCAAAAGAAAAAAGAAAAAAAAAAAAAAAAAAAAAGAGGATTGTCCTATCTAAGAAAAAAATGCAGCATGTGATTGTCTTCAGAAAAGAAACATGTTTTTGGTTCTAAAATAAAATGCTTATAAATTTTGCCAATCTGTACACATTTCTGAGACTGCAAATTAACAAAGTCTTGGGTGTGCAACCGACTCTGAAGAAAAAAAAATTGTCTTTCTTATTAATATCTATTTTTCCTTATATAAAATGTGTTACCCAAAAGTAACAGGTATACATTTTTCCTTATGAAATGAGAAAATAAAGTCGAGGAAAAAAAAAAAACTTTGTACTCTACGTTCTTGAACTCTACTTTTTTTTCAGGAATATGAAAGTTTGTATTAAGTGAAGACTTATTGTGTTGTATTTGATTACCAACTGTAATCAAAGAACTGTTTCATATAAAATAATGGACTTCATTTTTCACTTTTAAAAATCTAAAAAATTAACCAAAACTATTTACAAACACTACTTGGTTCTCAAACAACCCTGATAACATTGTCTCAACTTATGCAGCACTCTGAACAGCATCACTGCCACTTGTGTCTTCTCTTCTACCTTCTTGTTCTTCTTCCTGACTTAAAGTGCATTTCTCACTGTCTTCATTACACTTCTCTTTACTTCTATCTTTCTCTAACTCATTATGACACTCGGTGTTATCTGTTGGTAAACTTCCATCACAGTTGTTTCTCTGCTCACTAAGAGAGGTTTCTGGCACTGGTATATCGGTGCTACAAGAGGCTGCTTTCCCTGAGGTGCCATCCTGAGGCCCGCTGTGTTTGGTCTGAGTCTCCGTGAGTCTGTAGCCGAGACCTTGTCCTCGCTTGTCTCGTGGGAAGAGGCACTTCATGTTGGCTCTCTCCTCTTTGGTCATGTGTGAGGCCTGGAAAAACTTCTCTCTGAACTTCGCTGTTAGGTCTGTCACTGTGGCTGTGGCAGTTTCCCCTTCCTTAAAAAGAGAAGAAAATTGTTAAGATTTGGGTAACCAAATGATGTTAAGAAATAAAATTGTTAAGATTTGGGTAACCAAATGATGTTAAGAAATAAAAAGACAAAAACTGCAAGATATGAAGATGATAAAGGTGTAATGGTTCTTTAAGTTACAGTTGATTTATATATCAAATAGAATTACATCTATAAATATACAAAAAGGTGCACTGAGATGTGACAGTTAAATCAAGCATCCCCAGAATTATTAAGATGAAAGAGAATGCATGGGTTAGGATATGAGGCCCCAGGGGAAGACACAAAAAGGTATGTGAAGATGTGAGACAGTGAAAGAGAGCTGCATGAATCTGTATATAGCATTAACCCAATGACGCCAGGGAAAATGAATAAAAAATTGGGCAAATGCTGTGCTCATTTTCTATATTTTTTGTGAAATGTCTCTGCACATAGATGGCTCTGCTAGTGCTTACCCACAAAGGAGTAAATTAGTAGACCCTGTGACCTTAACTGATTTGAATTGGCAGGAAAAATGTATTTTTTACTAGTGCTATGAATATTGATGGTGTTATTTTTATTATAAACATTATAATTATTATAATGTTATAAACATTAGTAACAGCAAAATAAGATAGCATAAAATAATTTCGTAAATCAAAGAAAAGGGTAAATGGGCGAGACAGGCAACTAGCGTAACTCGCTCATTGGTGACAGTACAAGTGTTGCCATCTATGTCTACAAACAATCAAACAAGTACTCACAGTGGGCATAGCACGTACGTACATGTCATGTCCATCAGGATTGGGTTAAGAAAGGAGAAAACGATTCCGAATAATTACTAGTAGGTTACAGCCATATTACATGTATGATTTACATAAAGGAGAAAAAGAACACTACAGAGGGGAGAAAACACAAACAGACACTGATGTCTTCAATCTGGATTCACAACAATTTACCCAATGACACTGGGCATGGCATGTACGTTTTTACACGTAGATGGCTACACTTGTACTAAGTCACAAGTGAGCCAATTATGAGTACTGCCTGTCACGCCCGTTCACCCTTTTCATCGATTTACGAAAATATTTAACGTTATCCTAATTTGCTGTTAAAAATAACACTATCTAAATTTATAGCACTAGTAAAAATACATTTTTTCCCGCCAATTCAAGGAAAGGTGAAATCAGGACTAGCAGAGCCAGAGATATTTCACAAAAATATAAAAAATGAGTACAGCATTTTCCCTGTTGTTCATTTTCCCCGGCGGCAATGGGTTAATTGTTTTTACACACAGATGGGTTCACTTGTACAAAGTCACTATTGAGACAATTACGAGTACTGCCTGTCTTGCTCATTTACCCTTTTCCTTGATTTACAAAAGTTTTTTACATTATCTTATTATGCTGTTACTGTTTATAACATAGTAATTATAAGGGTTATAATAAAAATAACAACATCAATATTCATATCATTAATAACAAAAATAAAAAAAAGTTTTTACCCCCTCAATTCAAGGAAAGGTGAAATCGGGTAAGGTCACAAGGTCTACTAATTGACCCCTTTGTGGCTAAGCACTAGCATCTATGTGCAGAGACATTTCATAACAACAACAACAAAAATGAACACAGCATTTTCCCGGCAGCAATGGATTAAAGACTTGATAATTAGCAGATTAGCCAACCCATGAACAAAGCTGTCACAAGAGCTGGGAGTGCACGTGGGCTGCAGCATCCGTCTTGCTGACTTTGCTGATCAAACCAGATTCCTCTTGTCGTCATTCACTTTTCACACCTCCCTCATGCCTCTCTCACTTGTCTTCACCCAGGGCCTTGTGTACAACTCATGCATTCTCTTTCATCTCAATCATGCTGGGGTTGCTTGATCTGGTTGCCCCGTTTCACGATCTGTTTGCTCATACATATATGTAAGCAGAAATACTCAATGAGTATTGATGTATGTGTGATCATTTACATGTCTGTATGATAATTTTTGTGTGAATGCATGTAGGTGTGGGGTATATATGTAGATGTTGTGTGAATACTTTTTAATTCATCCTTCCCAAATACTTCTTACATTCAAATCTACATTTTCATGACTGCAACAACAAAAATGGATAAAATTCAAACTGATTACGGTTATTACATTTAAAAAATCTTAATACTAAAATAGAAATAGAGACCTAATAAATACAGGATCTCTTTCATTAAGCCTCATGAGGACATTACAGTGTGGGTAGACAAACCTCCGGATGTCTCGTCTTGCGTAAGGTGATGAGCCTTCTGCTGGAATGTACAGTGAGGACTTGCTCGCAGTTAGATACAAGTTCCATACATGGGTGACTAGGAACCAAGCCCTCATGGTAATCTTCTCTATAAAAATAAGCATTCAGTTAGTACAATTAGTGAACTACCTAAGTTATTATTTAAGACTATTCCAAGTGTTTAAACCATAATTTGCTTACTCATCCCCTAAATTCACTGTTTTCAAAACCCTTTATCAATTTAACATACCTAAACACAGGCAGCCAGAAGACAAGCCTGCCTCCTATCACCATGTGGGTCGCGGCAAAATTGATGAGATCGCGGAATACGTCTGAGAGGCTATAGGAAATCTTGGAGGGGAAGTGCTGTGCCGCTGGGACCTGCTGCTTCACCCCTTCCTCATTTACCTTCAGATTCTTGAAGGTCCCAACTCGCTCGGTTGATTCTCGGATTCCATAGGGTGCTGGAAATTATTGAAGGACAATCATAATCTATATCTGTTTAGTGTGATTATGAAGATGGAATATGTGCTTGTTTTTCCCTTCTTTTATGTCTTTATTATATGAAAAGTAAATATGTAAAATTGCAGTATCTTTCAGGAACATACATATATTTTTTGTGATTTGTAAATTTTCCTGTCTCTAATGACAATCACACCCATTAAGACAAAACTTGATGACTTACGGTCTGTTATGATTGCATCAACATAAGGAGCTCCTCTCCAAAACGGCCTTGCATTATCCATGACAACAACATCCATATACTGGTTCTCTAATCCATACTGTTTCAAATTGCTTCGGATTGATTCTTCAGCAGCACGTTGTTTCTGTGAACAACAAATCCTGTTCAAAGTCTTTGCAGTAATTTACTAGAATCCCCCCCCAAAAAAGAAAGAAAGAAAGAAAGAAAGAGAGAAAGAAAAGAAGAAGAAGAAGAAGAAAACTGTAGGTACTTTTACTATTGCAAAGCGATCGCGTACCTGGCTATGTCGAGTGGGTTTTGTTCTTGCATGTAGCGTGAGGTAGTCTATGTCCCAACCCCAAACGTATGCCCCTCGATGTGCAGCCGCAACTAGCACAGAACCTGAAAGAGAATGAAGACATCTAATCTGGTAAAAAAAGGAGATGGAATGACAGGACTATAGGTCTATACCTCAAATAGCATTTATATACAGGAAAGCTGACCATTGTGGTAAAAGTAATCAATAAATAAAAAGAAAATGCCACAGTAAGTTTAAAATAAGTATGATAAAAAAAAAAAAAATCACAGCCCAGAATTACTGAATGAAACTATGACAATGAATCCATATCGAAAACCCACTCTCACCTGTACCCACAAAGGGATCCACCACCACCTCCCCTGCCTGGACTTGCGCAAAATTTGCCATGATGAAGGAGAGCTGCGGATCCATGGACGTGCTCCCAATATAGGTCCGCTTCTTAAGGGAAAACTTGTCTATCAGTTCCCTCTGCCCATCTGTGATCCATCTTCCAAAGAAGATCTAGGTTGGAAAAAGGAAAAAGAAAAAAAAAATTGAGTTCAAGAATGATAATATATAAGGTACAAAGTTAATGGGTATATAACAAATGAGATAATTAATAATGACTTAAAAAAAAAGAGATAATAGTATAATAATAAAGAATCAACACAGCATATGAGGTCACCTATATTACAAGTATATAAATATCACTTTTAAAATTTTTTTTTAGCATAACCTGAAACTGTATGGACACCAAAGATAAAAGTATATTCTGAAAACCATGAAAATAGATATTTTCATCTTAAACTAAAATTTATGTTACAGGAATTGAACCCTATTTGATGTTGATAATTATTTCATGTTCATATTTATGCACGACCCAAGAGACCAAATACAAAAGCTTCTACTTACTTTATAAGGCTTTTCTGGTACAATATTTGGGTGTAGACCATAGTACTCAATCAGGTGTAGGCAAGTGTCTGCATTTCTCAAATTCACATTCCCCTCAAAGGGTAAGTAACTGAAAGACTAAATAAGATAAAAATCTAAGCATTATTAATAGACAGAATGCTAAATAATAACTCCATATATATATACCTAAGAGATTAATCATCAGCTTTGGTAACAATTCTCAAACATTTTGAATAAAAAAAATAAATTGTGTATATAAACAAATGTACACATACACAGCACATACAAATACAAACATGCACTCCCATACATATACATACATAAACAACATGACTAATGACATAACTAAACAATATAGCCCTTTTCAATGAATACGTGACATGTTTTAAGTGAGGGAATAAAAGAGAGTGATGAAGCATGACTCGCCTCTATTTTCTTGAGCTTCTCTGCATTCTTGAGTGTCTTATTGAAGGTCTCCACCCTGACTTTGAATGTCTTGTCTCGGGTGATGTGTGGCTGGATGAACTCGAGCGGAACACTCTTGACGCTGGCATGGAGCTCTTCCTCTGTCTCAGCCTGGCCCCTGGCAGAAAGAAATATCGCATGTAAAAATAAGACACCTTAGTACTCTTCATTTTCCTCTGTCTGTTTATGGCTGCTTAATTTTGTGATATGAAAAACACCCCCAAAGTCTTGTATCTCATGCCCTTAAATTCTTTTTCACTTCTACTATTCCTCACATATTCTTTTTTTACAAAAATATACAAATTAGCTTACCATATTTCATAGCACGATCTCACCAGCATGCTTCGGGACATGAGTTTCCTTGCTTCCTTTTCACAACCCATTTCAACAATAACATAAGGCTGAAAGACATAAAAAAAAAGAAAAAAGAAAAGTAACATCAGAGATTGGAGATGAAAATGATACTAATGATAGAGAAAAGTTGATACCTATTAGAAAAGATGAAAAAAAAAAGAGAAGAAAATAGCAACTTTGGAACCATAAAGAAAAAGAAAAAAAATCAAATGAAAGATAAATAATAATCTAACAGTTTAATTGATTTATTTAAAACACGTCAAAACAGCGTCTTGGATTATCAAGTTCTATATTTGGCTGGGCTACAGCACGGCTTCCCAACCAAGGGTACATGTATCCCCAGGGCTACATTTGCACTTTTCAGCGGGTGCTTTACTTCTGAGAAAATAACCACTACTGTACAATACATGATGTAATCTACATTCTGACTGTAAAATTCTCTCTCTCTCTCTCTTTTCTCTCTCTCTCTTTTCTCTCTCTCTCTCTCTCTCTCTCTCTCTCTCTCTCTCTCTCTCTCTCTCTCTCTCTCTCTCTCTCTCTCTCTCTCTCTCTCTCTCTCTCTCTCTCTCTCTCTCTCTTTTTTTTTCTTCTTTTTTTTCTTCTTCTTCTTCCTCCTATTATTATTATTATTATTATTATTATTATTATTATTATTATTATTATTATTATTATTATTATTATTGTCATTGTCATTGTCATTGTCATTGTCATGTTCATTGTCATTGTCATTGTCATTGTCATAGTCATAGTCATAGTCATAGTCATAGTCATAGTCATAGTCATAGTCATAGTCATAGTCATAGTCATAGTCATAGTCATAGTCATCGTCATCGTCATCGTCATCGTCATCGTCATCGTCATTATCATTATTATTATTATTATCATTATTATTATCATTATTATTATCATTATTATTATCATTATTATCATTATTATCACTATTATTATTAACACTTAATATTCCCCTTCTTCTCCTTCTCATCCTCCTTCTTCTCCTTCTCATCCTCCTTCTTCTTCTCCTTCTCCTTCTCATTCCTACTCTCCCTACTCTTCCTACTCCTCCTACTCTTCCTACTCCTCCTACTATTTCTACTCCTACTCTCCCTACTCTCCCTACTCCTCCTACTCTTCCTACTCTTACTCTTCCTACTCCTCCTACTCCTCCTAATCTTCCTACTCTTCCTACTATTCTTACTCTTCCAACTCTTCCTACCATTTATTTTTCACTTTTGAAACTTCCCTCATGTATGTGATGGATCAAAATATTTTATAAATTACCTAAATTTTAGTTTAGAGTCTTATGCAATCTGAACATACAAATTTCATAAATAAAATAACATGAAAATGTCAATTCCATTGCTCTTTTTAACTTAACTTTTAGGGGTACAAAGGAATCTATACACCTCAACATTTTTTCAATTGTTTTTTTAGCAAAGAACAATACATTTCAATCTTTAATAAATAAACTAATATTATTATTATTATTATTATTGTCATTGTCATTGTCATTGTCATGTTCATTGTCATTGTCATGTTCATGTTCATGTTCATGTTCATGTTCATGTTCATGTTCATGTTCATGTTCATGTTCATGTTCATTGTCATAGTCATGTTCATTGTCATTGTCATTGTCATTGTCATTGTCATTGTCATTGTCATTGTCATTGTCATTGTCATTGTCATTGTCATTGTCATTGTCATTGTCATTGTCATTGTCATTGTCATTGTCATTGTCATTGTCATTGTCATTGTCATTGTCATTGTCATTGTCATTGTCATTGTCATTGTCATTGTCATTGTCATTGTCATTTTCATTATCATTGTCATTGTCATTGTCATGGTCATTGTCATTGTCATTGTCATTGTCATTGTCATTGTCATTGTCAATGTCATTTTGATTGTCAATGTCATGATCAATGCCAGTGTCATTGTCATTGTCATAGTCATAGTCATAGTCATAGTCATAGTCATAGTCATAGTCATAGTCATAGTCATTGTCATAGTCATAGTCATAGTCATAGTCATCGTCATCGTCATCGTCATCGTCATCGTCATCGTCATCGTCATCGTCATCGTCATCGTCATCGTCATCGTCATCGTCATCGTCATCGTCATCGTCATCGTCATCGTCATCGTCATCGTCATTATCATTATTATTATTATTATCATTATTATTATTATCATTATTATTATTATTATCATTATTATTATTATTATCATTATTATTATTATTATCATTATTATTATCATTATTATCATTATTATTATTATTATCATTATTATCATTATTATCATTATTATCATTATTATCATTATTATTATCATTATTATCATTATTATCATTATTATCATTATTATCATTATTATCATTATTATTATTATCATTATTATTATTATTATTATTATCATTATTATTATCATTATTATCATTATTATTATCATTATTATTATTATTATCATTATTATCATTATTATCATTATTATTATTATTAGTATTATTATTATTATCATTATTATTATTATTATCATTATTATTATCATTATTATCATTATTATCATTATTATTATCATTATTATCATTATTATCATTATTATCATTATTATCATTATTATTATTATTATCATTATTATCATTATTACTATTATTGTCATTGTCATTGTCATAGTCATAGTCATAGTCATAGTCATAGTCATAGTCATAGTCATAGTCATAGTCATAGTCATAGTCATAGTCATAGTCATAGTCATAGTCATAGTCATAGTCATAGTCATAGTCATAGTCATAGTCATAGTCATAGTCATAGTCATAGTCATAGTCATAGTCATAGTCATAGTCATAGTCATAGTCATAGTCATAGTCATAGTCATAGTCATAGTCATAGTCATAGTCATAGTCATAGTCATAGTCATAGTCATAGTCATAGTCATAGTCATAGTCATAGTCATAGTCATAGTCATAGTCATAGTCATAGTCATAGTCATAGTCATAGTCATAGTCATAGTCATAGTCATAGTCATAGTCATAGTCATAGTCATAGTCATAGTCATAGTCATAGTCATAGTCATAGTCATAGTCATAGTCATAGTCATAGTCATAGTCATAGTCATAGTCATAGTCATAGTCATAGTCATAGTCATAGTCATAGTCATAGTCATAGTCATAGTCATAGTCATAGTCATAGTCATAGTCATAGTCATAGTCATAGTCATAGTCATAGTCATAGTCATAGTCATAGTCATAGTCATAGTCATAGTCATAGTCATAGTCATAGTCATAGTCATAGTCATAGTCATAGTCATAGTCATAGTCATAGTCATAGTCATAGTCATAGTCATAGTCATAGTCATAGTCATAGTCATAGTCATAGTCATAGTCCATAGTCATAGTCATAGTCATAGTCATAGTCATAGTCATAGTCATAGTCATAGTCATAGTCATAGTCATAGTCATAGTCATAGTCATAGTCATAGTCATAGTCATAGTCATAGTCATAGTCATAGTCATAGTCATAGTCATAGTCATAGTCATAGTCATAGTCATAGTCATAGTCATAGTCATAGTCATAGTCATAGTCATAGTCATAGTCATAGTCATAGTCATAGTCATAGTCATAGTCATAGTCATAGTCATAGTCATAGTCATAGTCATAGTCATAGTCATCGTCATCGTCATCGTCATCGTCATCGTCATCGTCATCGTCATCGTCATCGTCATCGTCATCGTCATCGTCATCGTCATCGTCATCGTCATCGTCATCGTCATCGTCATCGTCATCGTCATCGTCATCGTCATCGTCATCGTCATCGTCATCGTCATCGTCATGTTTATAAATTACCTAAATTTTAGTTTAGAGTCTTATGCAATCTGAACATACAAATTTCATAAATAAAATAACATGAAAATGTCAATTCCATTGCTCTTTTTAACTTAACTTTTAGGGGTACAAAGGAATCTATACACCTCAACATTTTTTCAATTGTTTTTTTAGCAAAGAACAATACATTTCAATCTTTAATAAATAAACTAATATTAAAAGTTACTTACATCTTCCTTTGGCTTTTCAACCCATTTTATTGGAATTTTGAACATAGTTGCTATGGACTTTAGTTCCTGAAAGAAAGAACAAAACTCATTAATTTTGTGCAGGAAAAAATAAGAGCTGTAGCACAGTACAAAATAATGTGTACAGATGAAGATGAAAATGAAGATGATGAACACAGGGATTAGAAGATAAGATTTAGGATGAAGATGAAGATGAAGATGGAGATGGATAATGGATGATGGAGATGGAGATGGATAATGGAGATAGAAATGGATATGGATATGGATATGGATATGGATATGGATATGGAGATGGAGATAGAGATGATGATGAGTTTGAGGTTGAGTATGAATATAAGGTTGAGGATTAGGTTGAAGATGAAAATGAAGATGAAGGTGATGGTGATAATGGTGACACAGAACAACGATGAAATGATAATGATGCCTCCTAGCTCTGTTCTTTACAAATGGCCATAGATGAATGACATGTACAAGGTATTAATCAAAGAAAGTAATACAGTCTGTAGTTGGAGTACAGTCAATTGACAAATATGGATAATGAACATCAGTGAAGGTATGAGCCTACCCTCATACCCAACAAGTTGCCTTTGTTTTATACCCTACCTCCATTAGGGCAATGACCTCAAGTTATTGTTCACTCTAATAAATGCTTTAAAAGGGTCATATTCTGAAGGCAGAGAAAGAAAAAATGCAGGCACACAAATACAGTCCAATCTGACCTCAGAGAAATGCACTGCACTTTACCCAACTGTATCCGTTGAGAGTGACTGAGACAGATAGCAGCCTGAACCTGGCTAACATGATATAAGGTTGTAAAAGGTATTTAAAACTGCTATTGCTATCTATAGAGTAAATGACATACACAACCCTGTACATCTAACTGAAAGACTGATTCCACAATGAAGAAAGGCATCTAATACTATGAAAACCTATAATAAGACTTTCATCTTGTTGAGTTTATACCAAGCAGAAGCTTCTACAAATTGAAATTCAGCAGCAATATAGATGCCTCTATATCACAGAGCAGTACCCGTCAAGAATAGGAATACTCCAAGAAATAGCGGTGGCCTTATGGAAGACACCCACACCAGTTTTCAAAATAAGACGTTGTTCCATTCAAGTACACATAAAAATTTCCTTGATCTGTAATGGATGGCCTGCAATCTAATGGCTAATCCAACAGTGGCATAGTGTCAGATCACTACGACCCCCAACTGCAAACCTGCTAGTATATCTGACCACACAAAACATGGACTAGCTCTATACATGTCAGTGCATCACCAGGGAGATTTAATTACCCCATTTTCCTAGATATAAGCGATGGTATTACGTATGCTTTTTGAATGAACGCCTACGGGTCCGCGGTAAGTATCACACGCGCGGATTCCTTCTTCGGAAATAAGAAATACCATTACTCGGATTTACATTTTAAAAAAATCCTGTTATAGCTCATGTCTTCCCCGACTCTTGGATACATTATATTCAGAATTTATAAGAAAACCAAACAAATAAATAAATAAAATGGATAAACATCTCATTACAAGACTCTATAAATCCTCAACATATTTAACAAAAGAATAAAATAAAAATAATCATCTGCCTCTCAGCTTCAACTCACAGGTATTCTGAACTCAATATGCTCATTGGCACACCATAAGAGGTATTTTCTCGCTGTCTGTCTGAACATTTCCTTCGCCTCGGTCTTCCCTTCTGCCATGTTGGAGCAGAAGACCTCGCGCGGTTTGTTTACATGCGGGGTATAAAGTTTTATCCCTTAGTTTTTTGTTGTCGCTGTTTTTGTTGGTTTGTGATATTTTTGTTTATAGAATCATAGTCTTTATAGAATTATTTATTTTTTGGTGTGTTTTAATTTGTTTGTGTGATCCCTTTTTTGTTTACATGTGTAGTATAAAATGTTATCTTTCAGTTTTTTTACTTGTTGTCGTTGTTTTACTTGGCTTGTGTAGTTGGTGATTTTTAAAAATATTTCGATTTATTTTTTGGTGTGTTTTTATTGGTTTGTATGCTTTTTTTGTTTACATGTGGAGTAAAAAATGTTTTTTATTTCTGTGGATATTTTTGTTGGTTTGTGTAGTGATGTCTTGGATTTGATTTTTTTAAAGTGTATTTCGATTTGTTTTTAGGATTTTTTCTTTTTTTTTACATGTCGAGTATAAAATTTTATCTCTTAGTTATTTGTTGGTTTGTGTAGTTGGTGATGTTTTTCATTTTTTTCTTATTTATTTTTTTTTTGTGTGCTTTGGTTTATTTGTTCCTGTGATTTTTTCTATAGTAAGGTGTAAAATTTCATCTCTTAGTTTTTGGTTGTATCTGTTTTAGTTAATTTTTGTAGTTGTTGACGTTTTTCGCTTTGTTTTTATTTATTTTTGGTGTGTTTTGTTTTGTTGGTGTGATCTTTTTCTATGTAAAGTGCATTTTTTTTGATAGGTGCATGCATACATTCTTGCTTTTATTTAGTTAATATTCTTTTTTTTTTATAACGTCTTCGGTTTATATCATCTCTGATTTCCTCCTTCCCTTTTGTGGTCTCTTTTCGCTGTGAAGTTATCCATAGGTTCATTTCCTTTTTGTTTATACATATAGGCCCTACATATATATATATATATATATATATATATATATATATATATATATATATATATATATATATATATATATATACATATATATATATATATATATATATATATATATATATATATATATATATATATATATATATATATATATATATATATATATATATATATATATATACACTTACTCATATTATATATGTTTATATATATGCATATATATAAATATATATATATATATATATATATATATATATATATATATATATATATATATATGTGTGTGTGTGTGTGTGTGTGTGTGTGTGTGTGTGTGTGTGTGTGTGTGTGTGTGTCTGTGCGTGTGTATGTGCATGTGTATGCGTGTATGTATGCGTGTATCTATAACTGTTTTAAAGGCATTAGTTTATCAATTACTTCTCGAATAACTGAATTTAGTCTTTTCATCTTAATCTTATGCCAGCTCACATTGACCATGCACATGTCACTGCCTACCTTCGGATATATACGAAAGCCATTTCCCTTGAACTACGACATATGCGAGTCCACGTGGCCCCACATAAAGGGCTTTTCTTTTGTACACATTCTTTTCGTCTCGCCAAATTGTTGCTGGCAAATTTATCTTGGTCTCTAGATAATAAAATCCTTTGTAACCTTTATTTTTTTGTTTTTGTACAGAATTTAAAAAAAAAGAACTCTATTAGATTTAGTTTTATCATTTCTAATTTCCATAATTATAGAGTGCGATCAAAGTTGAAGGCTTGTGCGCGTTTTAAATATTTTCTTCTCTTAATCAACATAAAATTTCTTTGCCTCTTCCTTCGATCTGTTTACAACATACTTTATTGTAATTCGATTCGATTTATTAATAACATACTTTATTGTAATTCGATTCGATTTATTTATAACATAATTCATTATAATTCGATTCGATTTATTAATAACATACTTTATTGTAATTCGATTCGATTTATTAATAACATACTTTATTGTAATTCGATTCGATTTATTAATAACATACTTTATTGTAATTCGATTCGATTTATTAATAACATACTTTATTGTAATTCGATTCGATTTATTAATAACATACTTTATTGTAATTCGATTCGATTTATTAATAACATACTTTATTGTAATTCGATTCGATTTATTAATAACATACTTTATTGTAATTCGATTCGATTTATTAATAACATACTTTATTGTAATTCGATTCGATTTATTAATAACATACTTTATTGTAATTCGATTCGATTTATTAATAACATACTTTATTGTAATTCGATTCGATTTATTAATAACATACTTTATTGTAATTCGATTCGATTTATTAATAACATACTTTATTGTAATTCGATTCGATTTATTAATAACATACTTTATTGTAATTCGATTCGATTTATTAATAACATACTTTATTGTAATTCGATTCGATTTATTAATAACATACTTTATTGTAATTCGATTCGATTTATTAATAACATACTTTATTGTAATTCGATTCGATTTATTAATAACATACTTTATTGTAATTCGATTCGATTTATTAATAACATACTTTATTGTAATTCGATTCGATTTATTAATAACATACTTTATTGTAATTCGATTCGATTTATTAATAACATACTTTATTGTAATTCGATTCGATTTATTAATAACATACTTTATTGTAATTCGATTCGATTTATTAATAACATACTTTATTGTAATTCGATTCGATTTATTAATAACATACTTTATTGTAATTCGATTCGATTTATTAATAACATACTTTATTGTAATTCGATTCGATTTATTAATAACATACTTTATTGTAATTCGATTCGATTTATTAATAACATACTTTATTGTAATTCGATTCGATTTATTAATAACATACTTTATTGTAATTCGATTCGATTTATTAATAACATACTTTATTGTAATTCGATTCGATTTATTAATAACATACTTTATTGTAATTCGATTCGATTTATTAATAACATACTTTATTGTAATTCGATTCGATTTATTAATAACATACTTTATTGTAATTCGATTCGATTTATTAATAACATACTTTATTGTAATTCGATTCGATTTATTAATAACATACTTTATTGTAATTCGATTCGATTTATTAATAACATACTTTATTGTAATTCGATTCGATTTATTAATAACATACTTTATTGTAATTCGATTCGATTTATTAATAACATACTTTATTGTAATTCGATTCGATTTATTAATAACATACTTTATTGTAATTCGATTCGATTTATTAATAACATACTTTATTGTAATTCGATTCGATTTATTAATAACATACTTTATTGTAATTCGATTCGATTTATTAATAACATACTTTATTGTAATTCGATTCGATTTATTAATAACATACTTTATTGTAATTCGATTCGATTTATTAATAACATACTTTATTGTAATTCGATTCGATTTATTAATAACATACTTTATTGTAATTCGATTCGATTTATTAATAACATACTTTATTGTAATTCGATTCGATTTATTAATAACATACTTTATTGTAATTCGATTCGATTTATTAATAACATACTTTATTGTAATTCGATTCGATTTATTAATAACATACTTTATTGTAATTCGATTCGATTTATTAATAACATACTTTATTGTAATTCGATTCGATTTATTAATAACATACTTTATTGTAATTCGATTCGATTTATTAATAACATACTTTATTGTAATTCGATTCGATTTATTAATAACATACTTTATTGTAATTCGATTCGATTTATTAATAACATACTTTATTGTAATTCGATTCGATTTATTAATAACATACTTTATTGTAATTCGATTCGATTTATTATAACATACTTTATTGTAATTCGATTCGATTTATTAATAACATACTTTATTGTAATTCGATTCGATTTATTAATAACATACTTTATTGTAATTCGATTCGATTTATTAATAACATACTTTATTGTAATTCGATTCGATTTATTAATAACATACTTTATTGTAATTCGATTCGATTTATTAATAACATACTTTATTGTAATTCGATTCGATTTATTAATAACATACTTTATTGTAATTCGATTCGATTTATTAATAACATACTTTATTGTAATTCGATTCGATTTATTAATAACATACTTTATTGTAATTCGATTCGATTTATTAATAACATACTTTATTGTAATTCGATTCGATTTATTAATAACATACTTTATTGTAATTCGATTCGATTTATTAATAACATACTTTATTGTAATTCGATTCGATTTATTAATAACATACTTTATTGTAATTCGATTCGATTTATTAATAACATACTTTATTGTAATTCGATTCGATTTATTAATAACATACTTTATTGTAATTCGATTCGATTTATTAATAACATACTTTATTGTAATTCGATTCGATTTATTAATAACATACTTTATTGTAATTCGATTCGATTTATTAATAACATACTTTATTGTAATTCGATTCGATTTATTAATAACATACTTTATTGTAATTCGATTCGATTTATTAATAACATACTTTATTGTAATTCGATTCGATTTATTAATAACATACTTTATTGTAATTCGATTCGATTTATTAATAACATACTTTATTGTAATTCGATTCGATTTATTAATAACATACTTTATTGTAATTCGATTCGATTTATTAATAACATACTTTATTGTAATTCGATTCGATTTATTAATAACATACTTTATTGTAATTCGATTCGATTTATTAATAACATACTTTATTGTAATTCGATTCGATTTATTAATAACATACTTTATTGTAATTCGATTCGATTTATTAATAACATACTTTATTGTAATTCGATTCGATTTATTAATAACATACTTTATTGTAATTCGATTCGATTTATTAATAACATACTTTATTGTAATTCGATTCGATTTATTAATAACATACTTTATTGTAATTCGATTCGATTTATTAATAACATACTTTATTGTAATTCGATTCGATTTATTAATAACCATCCAGTGGCACCTTTCAATCCTTCCAGTGCTGCCTCTTCAGCTATTCCAATGGCACTTTCTGGCCTTTCCAACGATGCCCCTTCAGCCCATCAGAGATTCTATAGAATATCATGAAGCACGTAAACCCTACG